AGACCGCCCGCGCCCAGCCATGGACACGCACGCCTCCAGGATGACCCAGCTGAAGAAGCAGGCGGCCTTGTCCGGCATCAACGGCGACGTGGAGGGTCACGGCGAAGAGGTCATCTGGGTTAGGCGTGAAGACTTTGTCCCCAGCAGGAAACTGAACACGGAGCTCTAAACCGGTCCCCTTCCCCGCCTGGATGCGTAGGTCTCCCCGTCCTCCCCTCCCTCCCTCCCTCCCGTCCCCACACACCGCGGAGAGCCGATCCCGATAGATTGCACACTTGCACACACCATTTTGGCAGCTGAATTGGTCCAAAGCCATGCGGCCACACTTCAGGCAACCGTAAAACGCTCAAAACCTGGAACAGAATAAGCTTAAGGTCCCGTCTTACGTTACCAAGGGCTTTCACACTATTTTATTTATTCTAAAATAATCAGGGGCTGAAATTAAGTATGGGGAGAATATCATCACTGGAAAACTAATTACTCTGGATGTCTTAACCTACGTGCAGCAAACTAGCTTAAACAATAGCACAACGAACAGAGGGGTTTATAGCCGTAAAACGTCAGTCGTAGGTTCATCTCCTTAACGAGGAAACTGCCTTTTTAACATGTACAGTTGCAGTATTCTTATTACTTTTCCCTCTTTAAATGTAAGAGAATATACATGTATTTTAGGAATGTGTGAGGAAAGGTTCGGGATTTATGTTGTGTTAAGTCCTCTTGGTCTGTGGCTGGTCTAATTTAATGTCAATGTTGGAAGCTCTAGTTTTACATAATATTATAAAGATGCCAAACTCTCTTTAGAGAGATCCAAATTTAACACTTGAAGAAATATTTTTTTGTATTTTACCTGAGATGCAGGGGCACAAAGGGATAAGAGTTTTACAGCGTTAGTGTAGCTCCACGTCTAGGATACGAGGCTAGCTTTTTGCAGAGGGTTAGGAATGGTGGTTTTATATTAAAATATGAACTGGAAACTCTTATTTAGGTATAACTTTCTTCAGGAAAAGGATTATTGTATATGTTTGAGACTGGAGTTTAGTTAGATAATAAAAAGAATAAAATAAAATGACATGACTGAATTGTAGTGGACCAAACTGATCCATGGTGTAACCTCGCTGGAGCCAGTGTAGCAACATCACAGATCCGTTTGGTCTACTCCCTCTGGCAGAGTTTGGGCTTAGGGGACAGGGAATTCGTGGCCAAAAAAACTGACCTCATCCACTCTTCTACTGTGGGTGAAACTAGTGTATTTTAATTCCTTTATAAAAGCTTTTCCACTGCAATAGAGTATGAACAAGTTCTACACAAGCAAACCTCTTGAACATTTTAAATCTTTTATTTAAACATCTAAAACAGGGTAAAATGTGACTAAAATCTTGTGGTTTTTAAGTAGACTTCCAAATACGAAACACAAAATAGCACTTTTTTTTTTTAAGATTTATATAGCTTTTCCCATTTCAGTTTCACCTATAGGAAAAAAGGAAGATTATAAGGAATTTTCTTTTTTTTGGTTGGTATCTATTGATGTTTGACACATTAGTAGGTACTTTGAAAACCTGAAATTTTATAATAGCTTTAGGATTATATTTTATAAAATCCACTCTGACTATATTTTAAAACATAACAAAAAAATTATTCCCCCAAAAAATCCATCACTGTCTTTGTGTCCCAGCTAGCATTCTCCCCTTGCCCACCCTTTCTGGTTTCTGGTGCACTATACTTGATCTTATGAAAGCTTTCTCTATTAACTTTTTGCTATCTTCTGATTTCTTTTTCGTAAAAGCTTTAGAAAGGTTTCTATACCCTTTGTATTATCACATCATTGTTTTATATCATCTACCTGTCAGTTGTGTCCCAGCGTATTAGAGAAGCGGAGGTTTTAGCTGTCCTATGCTGTACCCAGCGGAACACAGTCAGCGCTGAAATACTGGAAGGCTGGTACTGGGAAGGTACCGTTGCTCTTGTACATAATGTCATGACATGTCTATGTCAAAGGTTCTTATATATTTCTTTTATAAGCTGAAAGAAGGTCTATTTTTATGTTTTTAGTTCTATGAATGGAACGTTGTAAATGCCTGTCAGAAATAAAATACTGGAAAAAACATACAAGAGAGTGGTATGTGTATGTGTGTGCTCCAAGACAGGTGCCTCTCGCAGTAGAGGCGAGCAAGGGAGGAAGTCCTACGGTAGATGAAGCTGTTGAGATCACTCTCCTGGCTTTAGTAACCTGTAGGGAGTCTCCTTACTAGTAGGGTTTCCACCCTTAGCAGTGTGTGCCCTGTATCATGTGTGGATATTCCCTTAGAACAGACTCAGCCTGTCTTGGCTCTGCTTTTTGGTGGGATCTGAGCTCTGGAGTAAATAACGCCTCCTTTGGCCAGCATGTGCTGAGCTTCAGCCTGTCCCACGTGAATGGCCGGGGCAAGCTTGTTGGCCTCCCTTCTCTCCTACTTAAACCTTATTCTTATTTATTTGTTTCCTCAATGGAAGATCCAAGCCTGGAGCCTCACCTGTTAGAGGACAGAAAATGAGACAGACAGACGTTGCTAGACATCAAATGCCAGATGCCAGTATTTGCCCACAGTGTGCCTATTTGACATGCACCTCGGCACATGAAGGTCCCACCTCCCCTTTAGTGGGACCACTAACTTTAAAATGGCATGTTCAGGTCTGTAACTAGCAACACTGTTCCCCAAATCTGTGAAACTGCATCAACCTCTACTGAAACATGAGTGCAAAGCGTGCCAATGCTGGCTCGTGTGATGAGCAGAGAACAAATGTGAACAAGCAGGAACTTCTATTTTAAATGCCCCAGTCTTTCTTTAGATGGGTTCACATGTTTGTTTCCTCCACAGTTTAGGTTTTGCTGGCGACTGCAATGTTTCAGATTGTGTATGAAGCTGCATAAAGAGCTTGTCCTACTGCAATAACATCAGGCATTGCATTAAAAACTCATGTAGCTCGTTTGTCACACATCAAGCCTTACACAGAAGGTGCGATAGGTGGAATGTGTAACGCTATGGAATAGTTCTTGTATTCTCACCTACTAGTCACGGTAGCTTAGGAAAGAACCCTCAGGTAAGGCTCAGCTCATATTCTGTGGAAGTGAGTTGCCGTTTTCCTTATTACGTCCATAGCTAGTCATGCCTGTTTCTTTTTCTATGCTGATCACAAGGAACCTTAAGTGCGTGTTTTAAAAAGAGGAAAAAAATAGCAAATTCCAGAATTCCAATTACGTTGGAAGAACTCTCCAGTCTTGCCGTGGCTGGTTGTTTGGCCAAACCTCCTCCCTTTGGGGTGCTGGATTTCAGCCTAAATGTAAGGAGGGCACTGTGGGATGGTGTTTTGTGCAATAACATCAGGCATTGCAGGATGGGCAGGAGCTTCCCTGGCCCGTGGGTGAGACTGTGACTCTCACTGCTTTTCTTTAGGGGAGCTAGGACTAGTTATGTATAGGCAGTTTGGTTATGTTCATGGATCCTGGCAGATATTCCCTAGAAGGTGGGCTGGTGGATGTGAGGGAACTGGTTTATTAGGAAACAAGGTGTTACTGCCAGTGCTGCGAGAAGAGCCTTGCACAGCCCCTTGGGCTTGCCTGCAGTAGAAGCAGCAGCAGATTCCTGGGGAGAGCACAGGCACTCCATAGCACTGACATGTGGGACTGACATTTTCTTGACTCCAGTTTTGCTAGTCAGCTGGTTTTTTGTTGTCTTCTCTAGCAGACCTGCTTTGCTTGCAGGGGCTTCAGGACAGCACAGGAAATACTTTGTTTCTGAGGCTATTGTCTCTGCAAATAACATGTCAAGAACGTCACCCTGCTCCCTTCATGCAGCCAGATTATCATGGAGACAGCAAACAGTGCTGCCTCTCCCCACAGCTCGTGTTCCCCCTCCCGGTGTCTTTGGGTTCTCTGCAACTTGCTTTCTTTTCCTTTTAATTTTATTCTCGACAGTTGCTGAGGTACCGCCGTTGAACACAACTTTTCTTTTTTAATCCTTTCAGTTACAAGAGCTGTCATGCATGTTGATTGAAGACTGTCAGCGTGCCAGTATTACTGAATGAATCCAGGCCAGGATCATGGAAGCTTGCTGCGTCTCTGCCTTGTTCGGGGGGGAAAGAAAGACTTTGAAAAATTGATTCCTCTGTTTCTCTTTTCCTTTGGCCACATCCTGTTAATAATACATAGTACCTCTGCGTTGTACGTGGGCACGAGCTTGAGTAGCTTTTTGCAATAGTGAAATCTTATAGCAGCCTTAGAGCCTGGGTAAATTGCTCCCATTTTAAGCTTGATGAACGAAGGCAAATGGAGGAGCACACACAAGGTCATGCAGGAAGCCTGTGGTGCCGGTGACAGGCTTGCAGAAGGCTATTTAACCATTAGTCTGGACAACGTTTCCTTTTCATTAATGTAAAGAAGTAATTAGCTGCAGTAAGGAATCCTTTCTTGTGGCAGAGTAATAAAGGGAACAGAAAAGTCCCACAGACTTCCTGGGCAGGGTGGATTTGTTTGTCCATTAGGTACAGCTGGGAATAAGACTAATGCTGTCAGATCGAGTTTGCTTTCTCCTTTCAATTCTGTGTTTCCAATCAATTTAGTAATGGGAGGAGGGATGGTGATGAGTCAGGAATAATTGTAACCAGTGAAGTGTTTTCCATGTGACCTTCAAAATGAAGCCATGGTTTCTGTGACTGTTCCTCTCCGTGCACTGATGTTACAAGTGATGCTGATGGCACACAGCCTCAGGGGAATACATCTCGGTGTGCCTGAAAGGAGAACAGTTTGCCCATAGAGATTGTGCAGGCTCTGTCCTTGGGGGTTTCAGGAACCGTGTGGAGAAAGCCTGGAGCAGCCTGGTCTGATCCCAGAGCTGGCCCTGCTTCAGGCAGGAGGTTAGACCAGAGACCGACCTGATGGCCCTTCCCACCTGCATTATTATCCTGTGATGCTGTGACTCCCTCTCCACAGCCCTCCCTGCCTGGTCACACAGGGTAGGTTTCAGTTGGTTTGGCTTTTTTTTTCCCCCATCAGGGACAAACTGCAAATTGTACCAAAAGATTAAAATATTACAATGAAACTAAATAGACAAACTCTCGGGAGATAAAGCTTGGTGACAATCTTCAGTGGGAAATGGCAGGAGCACTGATTTACTGTGAGATGGGACAACTGAAGAGGCCGTAAGTCACCTTTTCCTGATCCTCTCACCCCCAGTGAGAAGGGTTTGGTGCAGATGGAGCTGGATTTCCTGGGAATCCCCCAGGTCTCCTAAACATTAAATGGCAGGAGTGACCATTTACCATTAATCCTTGGGTCCTTGCTGCAAAAACATCACTGGACTTTTATC